AGTAATTGCTGTTGGTGGAATGGCATTGCCGCCGAGCAACTGGGACAGAACCCGCGCGCTAATAGTTTCCGATATACAACATCGGGTACTCATGCACTCGCAATGATATCTATACTTTTCTCTCTAACAGTCTACTCCAATTCGGAATATCAAACAAGAAGTAATACTTCATCCCAGACAGCGTGCTCGGTCGTCATTACTAAAAAGATCGTGAAACATCCGATCCAATCACGCAATGGAGTTTATTGTCCGATCGGTGATGCAATTTCTTCATCTCTACGATGAAATCCAAGATAAAATAAAACAACAAACTTGCCGGGGAGAAAGAGAGAGAGAGAAAACCCGGATAGACAGCACGGTAGATTTCTTTTTATTCGGTAACCCGGTAAGAGTTGCAGCTACACTCTTACGAGAGAATAAAACCGTAGTAAACACGGCTATATCTATAAATTCCCGCTTCTGCTTCGTGCAAAATATTAGATAATCGAGCGATGTCGATATCTCATCTCAGTTACGACATAGTTTAAGCAGCATATTCAGAAAATTAATTAAAATCAAATATCCCTCGCCTAATATGAAAATGTCGAGGTAAAATAATTACATGCGATCAAAGTTGGAAGATATTATATAGAGCTCACGACCGTCAGGCCCATAACTTACACGTGTACCGATCTGTCATCGGTGTCATTGATCTTCGCGGCTCATGCGATATTGATCTTTCTTACTCAGCTAATTTATTAGATATTTTATGTGCAGGTATTACATATAGTACAGACATAAATAATCTAAATAAGCTATTGGAGGCAAGTTAATTATTAACATTAACTTTTGTCTTTCACGCGGTGTTTTATTTCGCCTCAATTGATATAAAGTCAAGTTATTAATTGTGGGATAAATAAAATTGAATTACAAAAGATTAACATAAAATCGATATGTTATCAGAATAAACATAATATTATTACCGCGTGCTAATCATTAAATTATATAATTAATTAAATAATATCATGTAACATATTTTTTCTTCGTCTCTTACTTATATATATGTGATAGGCATATTAAAATATCTGAGTTTATGTGAATATGAATCAGTTTGTATAATATTTGAAAATTCTAGAAAGATACACCTGTATAAAATATTTTTACATTTATACATAAAAAGTTCAAATGCAGATCTCAAATTAAGAGATTTCGAATTTATATACAATAAAATTGGTAATTATATGTTCCAGGATTAAATATTAATGTTAATTTATTTTAATACATTCCATTTTATAGCAAAAGATCTATGAGACATTGTACATTCGTAATATTCTTATTCTTTCAACTTGACACATACATCTTATGCGTCCTTCGTGCGATTATACAGATCCATTATCTCGAATTTAAAAAGTAATATACAATATATGTTTCACTGATACGACGCGCAATAGCGGAATTGCACTACATCGATCAGTTAAATATAAATATATTCAGGTTATATATAATAATACAGCGTTCAGAATTAATAAATATTTCAAAGATAATACAGTTACGCGCATCATATATAATTATAAGCGATTCTGCACACAAGTAGTGAATAAAATAATAAATAATATATTATCCACCTATAGTTGTCCGTCATCATTCGAAGCTCCTCTTCTCTCGTTCTTTTGTTGAACTAACAATACTCACTCGCGAAAATGCGGTTAATTACAATTGCGCATTAATCACTGGTATTACGATCGCTCGACAATCCCGATACTGTCGCAGTCGCACGTACTTTGCTATATTGCGACGGAATCGTAACGTGAAAAAATACGATTGCATCGAGCTAACTCCACCTTGACACATGCAACGTCTCGCGAATGAGCTTAATGAATAAATCTCGACCGAGGGGTTTTAATAACTCGTATACCAATAAACACTGCATTTTGCAGTGCAATGAAATATTAATATATAGGATTAATTACGACGGGACTTGTTAATTAAACGCGTTGCGATGCTGCTCGACTCTGAGTCAATCCTGTATTCGTAATATTCCGTTAATGACCAAAACATAATACCGATATAGCTTTCTGATATTGTACGGTACGATAAAGTTGATTAATGATAATCAGAAACGAATCTAAAAATATGCTATCGAAGTGTAATGTTATTTAGTACATCTCAGATATATAAATTCTGTAAATATATTATTAAAAAATGTATCATTAAGGGAATACTGGCAACGTTTATTTTATCAACAAAACACAATCCTTTTTGTGTCGAGAATTTACTGTATTATTTTAATAGATTTGAAAAATCTTTTTCGAAAATTAAAGTATATTAATACTAGTCATTAATACTAGTCTGACGTTCGGAGTTTATGCCGAGAACAAAACAATTTTCTTAGTTTAGAGTTGTCAAGTCAAAATAACATATGCTTGATATAAAAGATCTTCAGCTTGTACTTATTATACAAAATTGCGGTGTCAAGACTAGTAGATTATATAAAGAAATAACATCGAATTTGTAAAATTATAATAATTATAGTAATTAGATTTACATTACTTAATTGTTAGTAAAACAGCGATATTATGGAGTTGTCAGCATCGTTTTAAATGTATTAATAAGATTAAAATTTATTATTTAAAAAATGTAATCAATCAATGTATCACAGCTTCCTCGGATTTTTCGATTTGATGATTTGTACACGTGACTCTGTGTTCCGTAAACAGTCCGTAAATTATACTTATTGACGGAAAACACGACGCAAGATACACGCGTATCTCCAAGCTAAAAAAATCCTTATCATGTGTATTACAAAACGTTAACTTGTGATTCCTATTCACTATCGCTTGGATTCCTTTGAACAACCGCGCGAGATAACTGCTTCGACAAATATAAGTATCATCCCACTCGACACGAATAATAGTCGTTAATCGTAATGCACTAACAACACGTTCCGTGTCATTCTAATATTTAGGTTTTCCAAATTTTATTAGGAACAAGATCCTATCTGACGAGCGAAAATGTCAATATTTTTTTATTCCAACAAAATGAAATGCCGCAAGAAATGTAAATGATCCAATTAATTAATCATTCAAATTTGTCTTAAGATAAAGTAAACAGCTCATGTAACATTTAAAATCTACTATTAATAATAAACTTGTTACTATTATTGTTTATTATAACAAATAGAATATTTGAAAAAATATAATATGTAAAACACCGAAAAAAAAAAAGGAATTTCTCGAATATTTTTCATTCATCTCATATGTATATAGGGTGTCCCAAGAGGAAAGGCAAATATTCTGGAAAGTGACAGTATCGGTAATTTTAAGCAAAAATATTCATATAAATATGCATTCAAATATTTTCCGAGATTATTTGAATTTAATGTGCCATTGCGCCTGCTGACCGTTGATCAGCTTTGCGTCTGTTGACTATTATGTTGATTGATCTCTCAAAATATTTCCTTTCCTTCTAGAATACCCTATATAAATAAGCGTAGTTTGGGCAAAAAATAATTATTGTGGCGTGAATGTACTTTAACTTTCCGCGAAGGCTTCAATAATACAGTCATACGAGATTCGTGTGTCAGTGTTACTTGACCGTTGATAACCCGATGACATTTATAGCCCGATTGATCGGTTGTAACTAAGTATTTCCGTTTGGCATACGGCGAAGAGCGACCGCAATACCGCATATGTCGGGATCGTGTTTTAAGGCTCGTCCGGTCGAACTGTTCGCCCCCTCTCCCCTCCGTTTTCTTCTCGCATGTGAAGTGGACGAAGGGTCACCACTCGCGGGCGGGTCGGGGCCAAGTTTTGCGCAATTCCGAACATTAAAAAGTTCCGCGGACGGATAGCACGCAAAACGGATTGGCCAGCTGACGGTGGGGAAGTTTCCCGGGGATTGGCCGACGGCGATGAATACAAATCAAACGTCGGCCGACTTTTTCCATTGTGAACCATCTCCCCGGATATAACCGACTTTCATTTTGCATACTAATACCGATCGCAAACAACTTTCGAAGAATACCGAGATGTTCGTTGTTTGTGAACGGCGGGAACGCCTGGTTGGATGCCAGGAATTGGTAAGAGAATTCGACGTATAATCTCGACGACTTTCGGATTTCGATGTGGACGGCAAAATAATACCCGGTTTCAATAAACCGGCAGTCTCATCGCTTTAAAATTCTCGTTGCATTATTAACTCGCGAGCGGCGCTCCTTGCGCGCGAAGTCCCCGCGGCGTGCGAAAATATAAAGTTCCCGTCCGCCGCGCGTCACTTTCCGTTCCACATCCGTTCGTGGCTCATACATTATTTCGTCGCGCTAAACAACGTGACACGTTGCCTCTTACGTTATTTATGAAGGTATTCGAAGTCAAAGGCATGACGCTGTCCCGGATCTAACGAGCTTGCAAGATAGGCGTTCTCTCATCGTTTTATAATCCCCTTAACGTCCCCCTCTCCTCGCACGCGAGGAGGAAAGGCTAAGCGAGACGATAAAGAACTGATGAATATGGATCGACGTTCGATCACTCGGATTTGCATGCACGGCACAGGTGAGGCAAGAACAACGTATCTTTAGACGCGCTTAATACATAACATATATCGCGGAGAGTTATTAAGGTAGATCCTAGCCGAGAGAGGCAGGTCATTAAAATAAAGATAGATCGTGCGTCTGTCTGTCGGGAAGCATAATTCTCCGTACGCATTCTTCACGACACGGATATATCGGCGACATGTATATAGGAAGCGTGTCCGTGAGGAGCCAATATCTCGTTCTTCAATTCGGCTAATAACGAACGAGGGATTCGACTCGAAACTCTTTTCGCGGAAGCGCGGCCAATCTCCCGGTTCCGCGTAACGGATCTATTAAAACTCCCGTCCAACGAGATTGAACTCATTACCGGCTATCGGGTGCGGCTAAAGACCCCGTCATCCTGATCCTGACCGCGAGACCGGTATTATTTTGCCGTCGTCGATGCGATACGCGAGCCATACGTACGTATCTACGTACGCTCGGGACTTACCGGTGGTGGAGTTGATGAGAAAATAACCCTCCGGATTGCCGCTGCTGATGGTGAAGACGAATTGCTGGGGCGAGACATCGCGATCAAAGGCGCGGATCTGCAGGACGCTCACGCTGGCGAGCGAGTTCTCCGGCACGGATGGATAGTAAACCGGAAGCTCGGTCAGCGGCGTGTTATCGTTCTCGTCCAGCACTTCGACGTAGACCTGCACATACGCGTGGAGAGAGCCCGTCTAATCATCCATCCATTAAATGAAACCGCCGCGCGTCCGTTAAATTAAATTCGCGACCGAGGAATAAAAAAGAAGTAATCGCGACTTCGTTTGGCTAGAGACGTGCAAATTAAGGTTTTTTGCTATCGGATCGAGTTTCACTTCTTTGTTTGAGTCCAATTCGAATCGAATCGAATCAAATTAAATCGAGTCGAATTGTCGAAACATAACTTTTAATTAATAACGTTACAGTTAGGTTGAATTTTAATATATACTCTCTAAATTTTCTGGAGTGAATCTCATTCCAAAAGAGTGAAAATTCACTTCAGAAAATTTAGAGAGTAAATATAAAAATTTTAATATAACATGGCTACTATACTTGTAAGTAGAAAATATGATTTTATAAGATTAATTATATAATATATGATATATAATTAATATAATAATTATATAATGTATAATTAATTATATAAGGTTTCATATATGTAATTCGTAACCTCTTGAATTCGAAACGACTTTTAAATAGTTCAGATTCGAATTGTAAATATTCAAATCTCGAATTGACTCGAATCTTATCTGATTCGATTCGATTCACATTCAAATAATTCGCATATTTTTATTAATTTTGGGATATTAATGCAATCGCATTCAATTTTTTATTCTATGCCTCTTGAGAATTTACAAAAACATGTAAGACACGAAATGAAATTTGCTGACTGAGAAAAATGGAAAAAGACATTATAAAATGGAAAAAACTTATTTGACTAAATAAGTTCGTTAAGCGACAACAATATATTAGTTCCTTTTTAGTATGTAAGTTTTTTAAATGTCTTTTTCCCCCAGTAATATCTCGATGTATATAATTTGCGCTTTACCAATTGTGCTGAAACTTACTTGCAGACTCGAGCTGAGCGGAACCACACCGTGATCCTGGGCGTAAACGGTCAACCAGTATCCCCTTTTCGTCTCGACGTCGAGCACCGCCTTGGTCCTGATGTTTCCTGCAACAAGCGGAGAACCGCGCAATTAAACTCGGGAACCAGAATGAACGAATGGCGAACGAACGCGAGCCGCCGCCACTACGCGATAATATCTCGATCATCTATCTTTTAATATTTCGAAATAATTCACTTTATTCCGATCGATCCCGTCGTGCGTAATGAAATATATGGCAGGTGCGGCGAGCCCGTCAGGCGGCTTTCTCGAAGTGGAATCAATATTAAAGAACGTAAAATAATCGCCGTACCGCCGAGACCTTTTGCACTCTGGCGTTCGTTATTTCCCCTTTTCGCGCCGGCCGGGGGACTCGAAACGAACGGAAGGCGGCCGGTTTTCGCGGAGAGGAAAAAAAAAGGAGACGGCGGTATTTCCACTTTGTGCGTGAGGTGGTCGGCAAACAAGAGAGCCGACAGGCAGGCGCACGTCATCGCGCGCCGCTAAGCGCTCGCGTATGCGTGCACCGTGCACGGCGAGTCCACCAACCGAGCGCGGACAGCGCAAAAATCGGACCGCATTCCTGCTGTTAACACATCAGCCTAGCACGGCGTGGCGGTGCCGCGCATGCCGTCGTTCCGCGTGTGTCCCCGGACTCGACTTTTTTGCCGAGGGATTTCGCCGGATACAGCAGCGGGTTTCTTCTTGCAACGCGCGACTGATATCCCGCGCGTTCTGCGCTCCTCGCGGTTTTGTTTAACCGTCGCGTCGCGTCGCGTCGCCGGGATTAACGCGAGGGATAGCGGTTAAACAGCGGCCGCGAGTCCGCGCCGCTTGCTCGACTTACTTATAGCAATTACGCGATCGCGGTTCGTCGTTTGCTCTCGTTCGTGGCGAGAGAACCGACGACGGCGACGACGACGGGAGAGAACGTAAAGCGAAGACCGCGACTTTTGCGATTTGTAGCGCCGATAATCCCAACGTCTTCCGCGCGGCCGCGCGCAAAGTCGAGACCGAGAAACCCGCCGGGAAGTCGCTCGCGGTTTCGGTCGCCGCGCAATTAGCGAGACATCGAGACCCGCCGTTTCAACGTTTCAACGTCGATCGCCGACCGGGATAACGGGCTCGATCGTCGAGTCTACCGGGGCATGTAACGAGCGCTAATTAGAAATCGGCGGGATTCGTGCGCGGATCGCACGCGGTGCGAGTCGTAAATATCCCCGCGTCTCTCCCGGTCTCTCGAGCCGCGGCGGGAGCTTTGCCCGCTCGTTTCACTCCGCGTGGCGAACTCCGTACGACTTGCATCGGCCGGTTGTGCAAACCCGAGTTTTTTCCATTTTTTTTTTTCGTTTCAAAAAATGCACGTAACGCCGAGCCTCGGTTTTGCTCCGTGTTTTCCTCCCAGCTTTCGTTGTATCGCGTGCGTGCTGAAATCGTAGCCGCCGCTTCTCATCGTTGCAGATCCACGCGGTTCGCTCGCAGTTAGCACACATAACACGGAAAAGAGGGTGGAATATTTTCATTTTTTAGTTTCTCCTTTATGTTGTGAATCGCACACTCGGGATGCACGTGCGTTCGGAGAGTAAGCCTGAGAGAGCGCCGCGCGCGTGAAATACGTCGCGCCGCTTATTGCTATAATTAGCGACGGCGCCACGAAAGAATGCGACTTTTCCGCGCGCGGCGAGCCACGAGGAGAAAACGGAGCGTTTCAAGTAGCTGAATTTACCGTGGAAATTGTTAAATCTTAATTAACCGCAAACGAACGTTGCCATATAACGCGCCGCGCTGCTATACTTCATTTCCTCCCCCTCCCTCCTCCTTCCCCTTCGCCCACCATCCCCCGTGCCCGCTCCTACGTCGTTACCTCGGCATTATATACGCGCCTCTTCTGTTCATTCGACTGTGGAAGAAGCAGATGAAGACACGTGCAGCGCTTTAATAGCGAGCGAGCCGGCGAATGCATTAAATTTAGTACCGTAAACGCGATTTATACAGCATCCTCGTATAACGGGAGAACTTCGTTAGCGGGAGAAACTCGCTCGCCGGCAACACGACGTTCTGCGAGCGACTACAAAAATGAATGTTTTCGCGCGCGCGCGAGTCAATACCGTAATTCTTACGAAAAAAATTAGGTGCGAGGTCGAATTCGTCCCGAGGAAAAATCTGCAGCGACACGAAATGCAAATTTTTCCCGCGGCAGTTCGTCACCGCGGTAGAATCCGCGCGTGTAAATATTTATCAAATGTTTAGCCCCTTATAAATAACAAAAATAAAACTAATATTATTAATATTAGATAAGACTAGAATGGCAGGACGCGCAGCGAAACTTCAGCTCTCTCGCGGAATATCTTATCATTTATTTCCTTAAAATTACGGGGAACTCGACATTCGCAGCAAAATGGTATTAATATCGAAAAGCGAGAATACATATCGCGCATACCGGATGAATTTGTGAAGAAGAGGGAGGGAGAGGAGGAGAGAGAGAGAGAGGGAGGAGAGGCGAAGAGGAAATTACTCTTCGCGAAATATTTCGTCGCGCGCGTTTACATCGGTTCTCGCGAACGTGAACTCCGCTTGTGAACGTTGTATCTCGATCGGGTTTCATCACGGAGATGCACGTGGATACCTACGCCGCGCCGGCAAATCTCTCGGGCTCCTTCGTGCTCATCCATCCGTTCAGACAGCTGATGAAGGCGCGTGCAGCATTTAATAGCGCGCCGAGGATCGTATTTAATGTGTGCCCGCGCGCGGATTGCAGCCAACTCGATATCCTCGAGATGCGCATGAGCGATAATACACAGCGACGGAGGTTACGTAGGTTACGCGTCGTAAACGGAACGGGGTTGAAGAGCCCCTCGTTCAGCCCCAGATTCGCCTGGCGATCTTCTGATCGGTGATATACAACGGCAATTCATACAACGGTGAATCGTGCGACAATTTCTTGACGTGAACCCGTGGAAATAAAGGGAAATAAATAAGCGGAGAGAAGGGAGAATCGCGAGAACTGCAGTGTATTTCTAAATATATATATCGCGCCAAAGAGAGGAAAAATAACCGCGGACAGCGCGCAATCGCGACAGCTGTTTGGCAATTTTTCGGGCTCGTGTAAGAGCTCGAAACGCCGCGGCCGCTTCGCTGCTCGAGGCCCCTCTCGAGTAAAGCACCAACGTCTCGTCGAGCGGAGCTGCAGAATTCGCTTCTGGCGTGACTCTCGTCCTTTGTTCGAGTAACGACGGAGCCGCACGGCGGAAGCGCGGCGGGAGGAAAACGGTCGATGGCTTTCCGAGAGCGGAGAACGTGCGCGGCTGTAATCGAACTCTCGGTCGTTTAATTTTTGGCCTCGGGCACACCGCCTTCCTGCCCTTCCGCCCTTTCATTCCCGGTGTCCCGGCTGTCCGTCCTCTTTCGCCACTCTCATCTTCCCTGAGAAATTTCTCGAGGTCTTGACGCAAACCTCTTCCCCTTCCCCTCCTCCACCGTCTCCTGTGTTCGTCTCTGATCGTTAACCCAGATTTCGTCATTGACACTCTCGGCATTATCTCGTTGGCAGTATATGCCCCGTGGACGTGCGCGAAGCGTTAACAGCGACTATCGGTCCTCTCTCGGCCGATTATTGTTGAGAGGTGATTGATGCTCGATCGAATATCGCGGATTAATGAACGCTTGAAAAGCTGCAACGTTAATAGATTATACCAATTGGGCTTTACTGTTATCTATCTCGTTACTGTGACGCTAACGAGATAACGCTAATGATTATAAATGTCTCATTTAACGCGTATCGGTACATATAATCATTTCGTTTAGAAAGATACGGATAACAAAGGATTAAAAATGGATGTAATGTAGTCGAACCTCAGTCTTGAGATACAGACGTTCAAATATGATTCGTTCGTTTGTAAACACATTGAAATATACGTGCGTTTAATTGTGTTACCTCCGTGATACTCGCGTTGATTAAATTACAATCCGAGGGAATTAAACGCGAATCTAAAGTTTCGCAGAATCCAGGCGGAGAACGAATCAGAATTAATAGAGGAAACTCTATTTTGTAAATGAAAGATAATTACGATTTTTCTTACTTTTGTAAACTCACTTTCACTCGATAAACAATATTGTCGTAAATTTTACCGTGATTCAAGTAATGTGGGGAAAAAAACGCGAACGAGCAACGCGTTTTTTCGTTCCGTTATTTCGTATATGATATTACGGTGTGCGCAGGAGTCCTCGCACATTTGACGAACGTCCGGGTAAAATACAAACCGTAAATCGCCAGTGGATAAAAGCGCCACTAGAAGCGAAATTACGAGATATACGTGTCCGCTCGACCGGATCTCTCGATACGCTCGAGATTTAAATTGCCGGGGGCATATCGTCAACATTCGATTGAAATGCGTTTCCGTGGAAACCTTTTAACGATTAGATTCGCATAACGGAATATACGCATATAAAGGGGCAGTGCTTTTAAACCACGATTGTGAAAGTACAATGGAAAGGCAACCAATAAGATCAGCGTTTCAGATAAATAAAATTTGTTATTATAAATAAAAAGAGGCGAGCTTACTATTCTAATTTAATTAGATATTGTTACATTTAACTGATCGAACACATCTGCTTGTTAAAGAAATGTCGTAAGGTCGCGAGTAGGCAAGATAAAAAAATTCGCAAATAGGTATGTACAGCGTACGTACCATTAATATCCAAATTAATAAATAACAGAAGAGCAGTCATAAAAAAATTAATCAAATATCAAAGATTTCGAGTAAGGTAATGTTGAAAAAAAACGATTTTGCTTTAAAAATTTTGCTGAAAATACAGATCTGAAAATCATTTTTTCACATCAAAATAATTTTGTTGGAAATTCAAACTGATGACTAGAATATCAAAACGTTTATACAGCAGTGCTCATCATTTTTGAATTTCTAACACCATTATTTCGATGGTTTAACAAAATTATTTTCAGATCTGCAAATATCTTATTTATCGAGCAAAATTTTTTAATCTCCCAGCAAAATCATTTTTGTGAAAATTGGAAAATGAAACGTATTTACGCTACTTTGACCTACATTAATAAATGACATCGAAAATTAATTCTCCACAGGATTCGACATAAACCAATTAAATCGTCCCGGCAAACATTCTTCGCGAGCTACGAGTTCTTCTTTTATAATTCTCGAAACTTTTCTGTAGCTCCCCGCGGGACTTCGCGTTGGTACTCCAACAAATTATTATACCTCTAACTCTACCGAAATGTCCAATCTTCTTGCATCGTGCCCTACCCTCTCCCACTCGGTGGTGGAGATAAACGGTCTCACCGTTTTTTTCCGTTTTCACTGGTCTCCAACTTTTGTAGAAGCGCTACTTACCAGACGTTCGTCTTTATCTTTATAGCTCTTTCGATAGCCGACGAGCCAATTTAATCAGCACTTTTACCGGGAATCTACGTGAACTAATAAAGAAATATCTAGCGGACATTAGATAACGGAATTCATATTACCTACACATAAGTTCCATTCCTGTCCGTTATAAGTATATAATACTCTTTGTAAATTGCAGTTGTAAGTCGGAGGCCATCCTAAGCCGCAAGGCAAGGATTAAAATAAAATAAATAAAATAATAATTGGGAGCGTCGCTCCCAATAATAAATAGTAGAATACACTTTAATCAATGTTATAATAACAAATTAATGTACAAATAATAATATAAAAAAAAAAATTGGATAATTATTTTTCGGATTCTAATAATTATTTTTCTTCTCTATTCTGTAACATATAAAATTATTTTATACTAAAAATTTTCCGCAAACATCAAAACTATCTGATCAATATAAATGTATAAGAGATATCGTTGTAAAATATTATGAATATTTGGAATGTCATGCATGAAATTTTAATATACGTAGCATTATTTGCATACATCAAATATTTAAGAGATTTTTACTATACATAAATTCTAAATTAATTAAACGAAACCTCGGTATTAATTTACGGCACTAAACCTTTCAGAGTCGTAAAGTTTTCTAATGTATGTATGAAGCGCGTAATAAACTTAACCATTGATGAATAAATCCGCGCGTTCGTTCGTAAAAGTTACAATAAGAAATTTGATAACCTTTCAAAGGTGTAAATAGCTCGAGTGGATAAAGAAAAAATTTCACGCCGAACTAGTTTACCCGAGATTGCGCGCATTCGAAAAGTTCCCGAAAGTTGGCGTCGATGTGTGCAAGTCCGCTGACGATTCCTTCCTCTAGTTCGTGATACGCGTATCACATAGAAAACTTTCAAAGTGTGCATACAGTTTGGAAGCAATCGAACCTAAGCAGTTGGAGAAGCTGCGAAAACCGCTTTGGAACAGACATTGATACGTTGCCGCGCATTCGGCACGAGAACACACTTACAACTTGCTTCATTTTCCGCTTCTTGTAGAAAATATCGCGTCGAAAGAATACAGGAATAGGTATTTGTTCTCCCTGCGCATTCCGCGTCTCAATTCTATCTTCTACAAAAGCAATTTTATTTCCTCGGCGAGCGTGAAATTGTGATCCTGGCGTCTTAAGAAAATTAAAAGTGTAATAATTGTCGAAACGAATTAATCTCACGAAGGAGATAAAATGACGGTTTTCTCCTGGCTGGAATAAAGCTGTTAAAGATGTTTACCGCGTCTCGTCGGCGGTCGTTGGCGAAATTGAAAGTTCCTCGTCGTGTTATTCACGAGAAATCATTTGGAGGAGCTCTAAGGATGATGACACGTTTATGACGAAGGTAGTATCCCTGATGGATATAAACGAGCGGCTCGAGCGACTTCACGAGTACTCGCGAAAAGGTATCGCGGAAAATAATGATCGGCCCGCCGCTCGGCGGCCGTCATTAGCCAGATTAACAGTGGGAAACCGTTCTGTCCTCGACACAGGGAGCCAGGTTACCAGGAATTATGTCGACGGTTAGGGCGCCGTAAGATCCGCCTTCGTCGTGTACCCTCCGTTCTTCTTTCGCCCTCCCGCTGCTGCTCCACTTTCCTGACTTTCCGCATCTTTCCCGTCCCGCCCCTTTTTTATCGCTCTCACTACCCCCCTCCCCCCCTCATCCGGAGTAGCAAGCGCTATGGTTCTCGCCTAAAGAGGAACAAGAGTTACGACTAGAGACGCGAATATCCCGTCCCCTTTTCTTCTCGCGTATCTCAATCGGTAACGAGAATCCTCACGAAAATTAATTTGTATGACTTTGAAGTGAGCGTGTAATATATACGAGAACACTGTTAGTCGCTTCATTATGCATTTTTTTAATTTAATGAAATTTAATCAGCATTCAGGTAGATCGTATTCCAAGAGAACGATCGACTCTACGTGCTATTTTTATTATTGCACCAAGTATTAATTTGCATACTAAAATTTTTCCAGGTACCTATGCATAAATAGAGAAAGTTGCATTTCACGTCAAAGTCCGCGCAATTTTTTCCTCGCGTCCCAGATATACACGTCCATTTTCCGGCCGTGCGGTTCACCTAAATGCCTTACAATTCATTCCGACGCGACGCGACGTGACGCGATCGTTCCACTCCCCCCTCCCTCCCGTTTCTCCCCCCCCCCCTGGAACGTTCATTATTGCACCGCGGCTCCAGGGCGACAGATAGAAAGTTAATTACGTAGTTACTAGCATTCCATATTTTATGGAACGCGGAATTGGATTTTTGATCGAAATATTTCGGTGCGCGTCCGGGCTTGGCCGCGCGCGAGTTATTGGCCGCGTGTATCGTAACGAGAGTCTTGTCGCGCATGTATACATGTACTACACCGGTGACACGCGACCATGATAAGAAATCCGCACATCGCGTGTCCCTTATTGCGTGGTACGCTCGTTACGGAGGGAGGAAGGGATGCGCGGGGACGACCCGAGGTGCTCGTGCATAAAATCATGTGGTTTCGAGGATATCCGGTCTTCTTCCGGTGGACGCAGACTACCGGAGGCGTATCCCTTACTCGTGTCGCAATCCCGAATACGTAAAGAAAAACGTTACCGCGCCACGTGTCTCGCACACGTACGAGATATCTTATATCGTGGATCTCGATCATCTCGATAGCGGGACGAGAGAGGTACTGGCCGAACGAGACACGATCGAGTTTTATTTCGCGGAGCCAGAGTGTTGTCCCGGTGTTCTCCTTTCCGCGTTTGATTGACACAGGCTGTCCTGGCATTCGGACTGAAGAACAGGTCAGCTCGTCGTGCCTCTCGTAATCCTCGTTCCCGAGGAAAATCCAACGATTCGCGGATCCGTCACGAAATCGTGGCCGTGTTCTGTCGACGTGGTAAACAGTGTGTTTCATCTTTAACACGCTACGCTCACGTGAACGCGTCGTTTTCGATCGAGGTCGGGGAAATGTATCACGAGAGATCGACAAGATCTGGGTCTAATCTTGGTCAGCTGCAATAAAAATCGTTTGCAATAAAAGAATTATGAAGGACAATGAGCCAGGCTAGGTATTAATGCTAAATATTCAACAGAATATTTCGAAACAATTGTAAACGTTTCGGCTAAATGTTAAGCCATTCTCAGTAGAAAATAACAATTTTAATACTTGCTAATTAACGTACGGTCATGTGTCGCTCTCTGCAGTCAATGTCACTCGCAGTCGATGTAATACAAAATCACTCATTGCAACAATTTCAGGTCGCAATTTTTTTAGCAAGAGAGAATCCAAACATTATAAATTAATTATTAGTCGCCTGTCCAAGAAATGTCCCGTAGATAAATTATTAGAATGTTGTCGCCATCGTCCGAAAAATTGAAAGTTGAAATTAGAATTTATCTCTTAACTTGAGAAGATAAGCCTTGTTGATTATGACATATAGGATCAAGTCAGGATTAATTTTTTTTAAATGAAATATAGAGATTTTGATTAAAAAGCGACGATCAGCTCAAAATGCAAATTTGTTCGCGGCTATATGTATAACCGACCGGAGGTGGTAAATCTTTGTCACGGGCAAGCCAAACTTGCTCGTGTATAAAGCCGCAATCGCGCGTCCCCGCGATTTTCTTATGCACGACCGTATATCGAGAGGCGCGGACGGCTCGCGGGGGCTTGTAAAGTTTGAAAACTGAATAAAAATGCTAATTACCAAACTTTTAATGAAGTAGACGCCGGCTACCCAACGCGGATGTTTCATGAGCGCAAAAGGCCGCGCGCTGGACGTTGGAAATATATGACACCTGTCACCCCGTTGTAATTCCGCGCGCTGCAACTTTAGATGGCCGGTGTGCAAAAATAAATTATGTGTTTGAAACTGGCGAAAACGTGTGGCGGCGGTATACAGTATTATATACATATAGCGGAGCTAGAACAGTTAATCCAGTTTTACCTGCGACAGGGCATAGTTATACCGCCGCTATCTTACGGGGCGGTTTACCGAGCACATATCGAAGCTTCGATACATTTACCGCTCTCGTCATTTTTCACGTCGCGAAAAGAACAAACGGATTCATCAACCAGAACCTTTCAAGCCCCATCAAACGCTGATCGACATTCCGAGAGCGCGGCGTGCCGGTGCTTTCAGGGAAAGTTTTCGTGTCTATGCCGTTCGCAATGGAAAGAATTGGCGCGCGCGCGCGCGCGTGCCAATTCCGGGGTACACGATTGCGCACGACCGAAAAAAAAAAAACAATATTTCGCGCGGTATTTCAGTATTCAGGTGTCTCGAGGGAGGGAGGATCCTCCGCGGTATTTTCGGTATTCAACGATCCGCGCGATGCAATTCCCCGTCGGGTTGCATCGCGTGCATACGGCGCGACGCGGCACGGCGCGGCGGCGGACATCGTGGGATCGGCGGCGGGGGATTCCATGCAGCCGGTGGACGACGACGACGGTGGCGAGGAGGGTGGCGCGAGGTGTGGCGCGCGGCTTCCGAGAAACGTGTCTCTCGCCCGTGACTGATGGTCCACGTCAGACGTGACGCGTGCTGCACGTGCCGCCGCCTCTCGCGGCCGAGGATCCGTGGCCCCTATCCACGTCTCGGCCGAACGGACGAGCGGATGGATGAACGGACTCCGGTGCAATTTCGTCAGGGACACCGGGGGATTGCCAGAAGAGGTTTCGTCTTCTCGGGAAAAATCAAAGGGAGAGGCGCCGGTCGGCATCTCTCCGACGAGATAATGTCGCGACATGCCCCAGAGACACGCTGCCCGTCCCGTCCTCTGGAAGAGGCAGGAAGTTGCGGGAGCTCGATGCCTTTTCGCGACTTACTTTTCTCTCACGTACGCGCAATGATACAGCCTTGGCCATAAAGTATAAAAGTAACCTCAATTTTATCGCATTTTCTTGGAAAAGATAAAGGTGGACTAACAAAATATTAAAATTGTTATAAAAATAAATATTATTTTTCATTAAAACTGTTTAATTTATTTTAGATGTATGTAGAATGTTTACGTCAATTTGTGAGGATGCTTTATACTTCTGGGCAAGGCTGTGTAAATATAATCTTACAGGTACGCGCTGTCAGATCTGATTATATTAAATGCACAAGAGGATGCAGCAAATTTGCAAGGAAATCGTAATCTATTTAATTCGGAATGCCATCGTAGTAGTGAAATTCGTCTCCGGTATTACGACGGAACTTATCCGAAACTCGCGCGCTTGCGTATCTCGATTGAAAACGTTAATGAGACGACGGATTATGTTGCGTGGAAGTCGGAATGAAACAAGGATGTACAACGCGTGAAACTATTATTTTAAGATGTTACACGATATTAATTGTCTTTGTTAAAGCAAAACAATGAAAGTACCTAAATTAGGAACGAAAGGAAATAGACGCCAATAAAACGGGCGAACAAGAGACATTAAAATATAATCATATTATCAAATATACTTCAGCCGCAAATACAAATTTCAATAATATATTACATTATTTTAATCGGGAAACACATTTTTTAATAACAAAAAATTGATGGCGTCCAATATTTTAAATAAGATCGTTGTCTGAAGTCATTGTTATGTTAGTAAAGTCAAAATGTCGCGCTTTAATATTGTTATAAATTAAATTATATGATTATCTAACATCTCTTGTTTGCTCGCTTTATTGGCCTCTTTTCGGTTTCGTTCCCAAATTTTTTCTAAATACGAGTTAATACACAATTTTTACTTTAAAGCAGTTAAAATTGCTGCAAGATCAAATTATTATAGATTGAATCTTAATTCTGTTTACGATTTTAAAACCAAATCACATTAACGATTGCCGTTGGATTGCGATTATGATTGGCGAATGGCGATTAAAATAGAGCATTATCTAAGTCTAAACGGCAATTCCTAATCTCAATCGATGACTGCTTTGTTTTGATTAATTGAAAAGTAATCCCCAATCACAATCGCAATCCAATCGGCAATCACTAGTGTGATTTGGCCTTTACACTTTTATATCGGAAGAAGTTTTCTGATAGTCATTCATGCGGCATTCTGTTTCAAGTAGTCGTTGATACTCGATCAATGGTTATCGATAATAATTAGCGAAACAGCAATAATTCTCGGTAGTAATTAAGCTAATTCATAAACCTTATCTCCCGTCGATGGATATAGGAAACGTCCCCTTTGCTCGCGCGATCCATTGTACGGGACGAGTTTATTCCCGAGTAGTGTCGAGTACATTGAACGAGCTTGTCCACCCATCTCATGTTCCAGTCTCATGCCAATTAGGTATCTCTGATTCCGCCACCCGTACCGGTGGATCGCTCGTTAATTAAAAGTATCGTGGACAAATGCGTTTTCGCTGCAGTTAAATTAATTCGTTTTGGTCTTTTCGATGGCATCGTAAGTCGAAGGAAAGTTGAAGAAAGGGAAAGAGAGACATAAAAGTGTTTATTAATATTATAGAGCAAACCCTTTAAGAACATAAAAAATGAAAAGAAAAACGATATAACAAAAATAATGACAAGACAGAAAACAGAGAAAAGAAAAGAAAAATAATAAAAATAAAAACTCTGAAAGAGTACAAAATGAAGATAGCAGAAAGAGTTGAACGAAAGAATTAAAAACTAATCGCGAAAAC